AATTCTATTCGCATACGTTTCGCAACACTTATGAAGCAATAGGTGCCGCCTGAGCGGGCACTATTGCTTGGACGCGACGCATTGTTATTATAACGCATTGTAGTGTTACGTCACGAATCTCCTTTTTTCTTTTCCTGGTCTGGGCGCCACGCAGAGTCTCGAATTATGGCCGAATTGTGGTTGTGTGTTTCGCAGGTTTTGGTTACATCTAGAAAATGCACTGGCGCAATTTAGGTGCGAGTATAAGAGGTATATAAGGCATGAAAGTAGATTGGCATAGTATGATGTATGCCCATGATAAAACGAGTTAATTGCCTGTTGTTTGGGGGCACACTTATGCTGTATAGTGTTGGCTTTGGGAGGGAATAGTGCCTGGCTCACGCTCGGGCACGTGATACGCTATCCCTCAGCAACACTGATGAGAGCATAGTGCCCCAACCAACAGCCATTTAATACTATAATTCAGATACAGTATGTTACCGTTGACACCCAAGGCGAACTTTTTAATGCCGCTTTGCATGCGCCGCATCTTGATCGCGCTCAAGCGGGTTATCGTACACCCCAGATATGGTTGTAATGCGCATCAATGTAGATATATTTCAATCAATCATGACGATATGTGGATTGAGCAGTATTTTTCGTTTAACGGTTCTGATTCGTTCGGTTCGGCGGTGTTGTGCAACGATAATTTTTACAACACGCGTTTCTGTTCGCGATTGTGGGATGGATGATGAAATCACGTGGTGTCTTTCGCTAAAGCATCCTGTGCATTGGATGATGAAGATCAACGTGGTGTTTCTTCGTGACGATCCTGTTGAATGCCTTGTTGTTGGATTTGCGTTCGGTTTGCGTTCGGATTTGCGTTCGGATTTGCCGTTTTGGTTGTTTCGGGTGTGTCAACGGTTATATCACATAATTGAAATGCGAATTTTATGTCATTCGGTTACGAATGCGCATTTGATTGCGCACTTAGGTTTCAATTACGACATTCGGGTGTTGTCAAAGGGGTTTTACTTGCCATCACCGGGGGGGGCATTTGTCTCGACAGGGTAGGGGGGGGGGGCTTCCGGAGACTGAAAACTCTAACCCGGTCAAAAACCGCTGTTGACGCCCTAATTACTACCCTGTCCCATATATACTGCACTAAAATGGTATACCCTGTTGCAATTTTGCGCACAGTTTCGGGTTGTGTCCTTCTTGGTACAATATAGCAAATATTGGCTCTGATATCGGTTGCGTGATAATTGGGCCAAGTCTTGTTTTTGCCGAATATTTGTTGAATAGTCTGCCATATATTAGGTGTCCAATATTGGCGCTTGGTGATATATTGAGTCTAATATTGTTTATTGCCAGATATTTGGTCAATATCAGTTGGATGGATGTGCGGTATCTAGATACACCCACCCATGTGCACAATATACATGTTTCGGCAAAATATACCTGTCCAGCAGCACGTTCCAGTACATTTGAATAATGGAGTTGCCCCCCGGAAGGGAGGGACAGCATAATATCAATCCCAGTGTTTTCATGTGGTGACGATAACTGCTTATTAACCCGACTTTCGTCTTCGGACGAAGTATTTGATTCATTTATCTATTGTCCGATGAGGAAATTTGGTCAAACTGGGGGAAATGGTCCAGGTGTAATCCATCGGCGCGCGAGGATGTGTGAGACAGAGCGAGGCGGATATGCTGCACTTACGCGCTGTGTGGATATGTAGATGTATTTATATGAAATTACACATAAGGTAGTCCAGCATGAATAAGCTCCGTTATGATAGAGAGATTGTGCAAGAGACGGTCAATAAACTTGAGATTCCAAGTGCCATTACAACATCTCTTTTTTAAAACATATAAAATCACTGCACGTAAAATACCAATCGATTTGCGTTTCTCTTTAGAGTCGGCGATACAGTCGAAATCAGAATGGGTGCAAACGATCCTTGCAATAGTCGTGAAATATAGATATAGCCCACGTGTAACGTGAAGCTTTTTCAGTAATCATGTGAGTATGCCTAACTAATTCGTTGTTGTGTAATCCAAGGCAATCAGACTGTTTGACACTTTTAGCAACGATTCAAGCTTCCGCATTTTATTCATTTGAGCTGCTGCAATACCATGCTACCAGATAACAATCATCAGCGATGGAACCTGAACTTTTTTTTGCTTTGTAAACTTTTGCTTAATTGTATAAATTAAAAAACTAGCTACGGTGGGCCTATAGACACGAGCTGAGTAAGTGAGCCTGACTGCCACAGTCTGTATTTAGGCGAACGTTCGTTGCTCTTTATTGCAGTTCTTTCGGTCCTGCCCAATGTTAGCGGGCATTGCGTAACTGGGTACTGCAGAGGCTGGACCACTACTACGACGTTTTCCCGTAAAAACCTGCCGCCAACAATAACGGCAGGTAGTTGGGCTAAACACTCGGACGTAATTTTTTCCTTGCGTGTAGAGAGGATTTGGTCGCGGTTTATGCGCGAACGAACGCCACTTGCGCGAATTCGTGATGCTGCCAACATTGTATTTTCTTTACGTCTCAATATTAATATTTACGCAGCATTAATGATTAAAAGTACAAATCTACAAAGAAGTATATATACACACACATATATATATATATATATATATATCAGGAGTATTTCATGACAAATTTATGACATTATGTACTCCTGATGAATTTCTTTATTTTCTTATATAGGATAAATGTAGCTTAATACAAGTAATATATATTAAATGAAAAGTTGCAGCACATTAGCATCGTAATTTTCAGATCAAACTATTCGCTGAGTGTGTGTGTAGGGTAGTATATATTACTATAATATAGTATATTAATACTATATATATATATATATATATTATATATATATGTATATCATAATATCATATATATATACTATATAATAAAAATATATAGTTTGCCAAGCTCGGACACATCTGCGATAGTAGATTGAGGCATTAGGATCGCAATTATTCGCATTGCACTATAGTACATTCTCCATTCTCCATTTAAACATGTAATTTCGAGAAAGAATCATTGCTTTTGACAGGTATTGACGATGTGCTCATAGAGATCTGCCGCTAAAATGTAGTGCGTTATAGGAATGGTATAGAGATGGGGCAGTAATAAACTTGTATGTAATAAATGTAAGGCATTATCAATGTAATTCTTTGCATGAAACTGATCGCCAGTCTGCTCTATATTCCCTATATTTTAAACGTATAATTTCTTAAAAACTATATTTAGTTCGGCATTACACTTGACTGTTCATGTGCGATACTAGCGCCGACTAACGACAGAAAAATTTATAAATCATGTTAACCGCCTTTGCGCGAAATTGGGATGTTGTGAAGCTAGGAATTTCACGACTTTTAACATATCATTTCAGGAGAGAATGATCACTTTTGCTTTGCATTTGCGCACAGAGATTAGATGCTACAGATCATATTACGTGAGAGCTATATTAGAGCGACTTGGTCCTTCAAAATATTAAGAAAACGCATCAGCATGGTGGGTAACTACTCGCCCCTTTGCACGCTATGCTTTAAAAGTACAAAGTTTCGCAAAAATACATGTCTTTCTGAATCATATCCTACTATTCATGCGCGAGAGTAGCGTCGACAAACGGCAATAAAAATGTATATTTGATGAAATTCGCCCTAGAAAATTCACTTTGTCCGCAGCATCCCGCCACAATCTTATTCCTAAGTTAATGTAGGAGGAATGGGTTTCGCATCGCTGGTCTGGTTGCCAGCCAAGATAATTTATTTCGACCAAACTGTCGCGCTTGAAATGGGCATGGGTATGCCCTGGAGAGGTGTGCATGCTAAAATCCGATCTAGAAATTTTACTTTGTCCGCAGCATCCCACCATAATGCTTTTCTTATGCTAATGTACATAGGCATGGCGCTAGCGTCGTTGGTCGGGTTGCCAGCCAATATAATTTATTTCGGCCAAACTTACGCGCTCGAAATGGGCAGGGGTATGCCCTGGAGAGATTTGCATGGCAAAATCGCCCTGAAAATATCACTTTGGCCGCAGCATTCCGCCATGATCCTTTTCATAATGCTAATGTACCTAAAAATCCCGCTCGCGGTTTGTCAGGTTGCCAGCTATGATAATTTATTTCGGCCAAACTTAAGCGCTCAAAACGGGCAGGAGTATATGCCCTTGAGAAATGTGCATGCAGTATAACTTTAACCAAATTATTGAGAAATTTTGATGTGAAGAGGCTTGTACATCTAACTTTTGTAAAGTTAGACATTATAAGGTCAACGTTGTTCGTACTAAACTACAATAAGATTATGATGTCTCGGAATCTGTATTTTAAACATGTAGTTTCAGGAAAATATTCTGGAATTTAGCAGATATTAGGCATGCGTGCGCAAATATCTGAGGCTATATTGCCGAGGCGATGCTCAAGAACATGCTTTCAGTGCTTGAACAGAAAACACAACTAGCGCGCTTTTCTTCAATTTGAGACCCATCTCTATATACCACGTTAACATTTATAAGCAGCTACGCTAAAGTATCCGAGAAGATCGCAGGTGTCTTGAGCTTATTTTTCACGAGAGCTGCAGTTAGAACCTATTTTTGTTTCATTTGATTGGGACCACAAGTGCAGGTTTTGTAACACAAAGTACAACTGTAATGTTTAATTTTAATAGATACAACTATAATAGCATACGAACGCATCAGCGTATTATTGGGAAGCGACCGGTATGATTCCCTTTTTGATATGCACTGTCACATATCAAGACGATTGAGACGATTAATAAAGACATTAATTTCATTTACGTCATATCAAGACTATTGATTGATATCAAGACGTTGGAGTTTTCAGGTGTGTGCACACTGCTCTAATGCTGCGCCAAGCCAACAGCGCGTCACGCTTGGTCCCAAGTCCCATTGAGAACTATCTATTCAGTCACGTTCAGCCAAGCACGTTAAGTTGTTGGCATGTGACGGCAGCTAATATTAGCAGGGTCGGCCTGGATCGCGGCAATACATAGTAGCACTAGCAGCGAGTGGAGCCCATCTCCCCGTAACAGCAATGGATAACCTCGTATGGACCACCGATACTGGTAAAACATATATAGCTCATAGAAACCTACGGTGATTTCTTTGAACTAAGTATTTGTTCAATATAATTATTTTTAACATTGTTTCGCAGAGTAACTCGTTGACTATCGTGTCTATCGCTACATACGTTTTAGCGTACTTGCGTATGTTCCATGGAATGCTGTGTAGTAGTGTAGTGTCACAATATACGGGAGTAACTCCAAAAAGGCTATGACTGGAAAGAATGCGCTTCCCTGTTAAATAGGTAATATCGTTCATTTCGTAAAAACAAAACGTGGGATTTAATGCATAGCAAATGACCAATCTATAAAACAGATAGAGGTTCAACATATAAATACACAATGCGCAGTATGTAATTACTAACTCGTGTCCATACACACGATATACATACATAGTACATAGATACATAGATACATAGTACATTGAGAAAGAATAATAGTAGAAGAAACAGCAGCGAGTCATAGTTAGACATAAATAGACCATCGTGTAGCGTATTGTAACTGAAGTTTTCGTGTAAAATAAATGTACCCTCTACACATACACAATACATTCAGATATAACTCTAGTAATAACATTAAAGTTACATATCAATATTTAAATATAGGCCTACTACATGGTAGCATGATAAAGATTTAATGGTATCTTGTCTATTTTGCATTCTGATAACGATTTTGCTCTGTATATCATAGCACCTTAAACATGACATAGAAACACACCGAGCGAAATCTTTCGTCTCGTGAAATTGGTTCGATTCGTTGCTAAATTTCACCTTGTCAACTAATGCTGAGAGGGTCTATGTCCCCCGGGGTACTGCCAGAAGGTACCCTTGGTACGGTCCGGTATACCGGAACGTAACCTGGTACTATCTAATATGCCGAACCGTACCTCGCCTACTCCACTAATGAGTCTAGGGATGTCGCCTACGCCTACTCCCTAACCCTAATCCTAACCATATCAAATAGTGACCAGGGTACGTTCCGGTATACCGGACCGTACCCAGGGTACGTTCCGGCAGTACCCTGGGGACATAGACCCTATGAGCTCAACTAATAGTTCTATATTCTCCGCCATCCTTACTTACTATAAAGCAGAGCTCTAATCTTGTGTGTCAGTGTGTGTGTGTTTGTTTGACCTCGCTTTTCTCCGTGATTTTTCACTTAATCGCGCTAACTGAAGATATATTCAGAATCACCACGTCTTGCAGATGGTTCTGGCTGAGACAAAAATTAAAAAATTTGTAAAAGTAAAAATTCAATCATCATGTACGTGGAAATTATTTCGCGTGTCATGACCGCCGCCGTAGCGTAGTCGGTAGGAGCTCGTTTCATAACCCGAAATTCGCCGTTCGAACCTCAGCTTGGGAAAAAAACAAGTTTCCTTTAATTTTTTACTCTTTAGTATCTACTTCTGCCACTTCAGCGTTAATTTCAAAATTTATGTAAAACATAAATTTTACTACATTTATTAAAAAAAAATTTAAAAGTTAAAAATTGAAAAAAATTACCATTTTTTTACTATTATTATTATTTACTACTATTATTATTTATTATTATTTTCATGTTCTTTATATTCTTTATATTATTTTTTATTGTTTGGGATTGGATGGGATGGGATGAGATTGGGTCGACTGCGATGGGATCGGATCGGATCCCATGAGATGGAATAGAATGGGATGAGATGGCATGGCATGGCATGGGTGGCATGGGGTGGCATGGGATAGGATGAGATGGGATGGGATGGCATGACATGGCATGGCATGGCATGACATGCGATGGATGGATGGATGGAGGGATGGCTGGCTGGATGGATGGATGGATGAATGCATGCATGGATATAGATAGATAGATAGATAGATAGATAGATAGATAGATAGATAGATAGATAGATAGATAGATAGATAGATAGATAGATAGATTTTGCGGTATTTTCCTTTCAACCAAATGGTCTCCAACTGAGCACTTTTTCCCCTGCTCACTTATAGAATTGCGCTCTTTGTTTCTTCTCGAAATTTTTTGTTGTTTTTCTTTTCTTTTCAGTTGCATGAAATGCACTGTGTCACTTACATGAAGTTTATATTTTAAGGCACGATTAGGTCGTTGTACGGGTATTAGTCTGCTAGTTATTATATAAATCGTCAAAGAACGCCGACACGCTCAACCCAGCTGGAGTCGGACGCGTAACCGTGCCACACCCCACAACTTAATGACCGCATTGTATGCACCAGAACCTACTCGGTTGTATCGCTACTGCTTGCGAGAGTGCTTGAGTCTGGTCTGACCCAGACTTGTTCAAGGTAGACAGGTAGAGACTTGTAGTTAGGTTTTGCGCTCTTCTGCACAATACTTTATTGAGGTCGAGACAAGTATGTCTAACGTGACATCTTACCAGTTAAGATGGCTAGCCATGGCAATTTTATTCACAACATCCGTTTATGTAATTAGTATATGACATACTAATCGCTAATAATCATTTAATATTCAGGCCATACTGGTTATAATGTTGGCGTAAGGAGTTGAAGCCTAAACTTACAACTCAGTTTTAAAGGCAATATCATTAAACACCATGCAGTGAGTTGCGAAAACAGGGGAAAGGACGAGAGACGAAATCTAAAACAAAGTTACAGGGCAAGTACGATTTGACAATGCTACGGAATAGCAGACGAGAAAGAAGACGCCGTGGAATAGAACTACGTGAGTAAATAGGCTCATCAACCTTTACGTCTATATTTCGCATGAATTTGATTGGTCCGCTATGGTCACGTGCACAAAAAGATACAAGGCAACTTTCAGATCGGTTTGACATCGTAGTTGCGCATGATTCGCCAAGATTAATCGTGCTGATGAATATGCACACAAGCGTGAACTGAACTATCTGACATACTATAGGAAATATGATACATGGCGAGTAAAGACACATGCACCTAAACATTCGCATGACAAACGGCGATTTAAAGAAGATGCTAGCAAACAAACAACATTGATGCACCAGCATTGCAAAAAGCGCAGACTGGTTCAATCGGTCCTCGAGAACCAATAACCAGGCTCGGCCACCAGGACGATTAATACTGGAGCCCGTCTATGCATTGCCGTCAATCCATTCAGCAGCCGATATCTATCGCATCACAACAAACAAGAGCGCGATTTCTCTCACAGCGGGAGCTATATGCACGAACCCTGACCCCGCAAACAGCATTTGGAATTTGACACCAAACATTTTGGCAGAACAGCACAAGTTATATAGCGATGTAAATCGTGCGAGCGTAGTCTATTGTGGTGTTGGTGCAAGCATCATATTGAAGCTAGTAACGCGCAAAGTTGCTGCATATTATATTTTACGTCGCAGACGACGTTGTCGTCATGGAATCAGTGGAGAACAATGGGCACGTGAGAGCGACTACGGACGAAGAAAGCATCACGACTCCAGCGAATGAAAAAGGTTCTTACTTAAAAGTCAACGATGACAATATTACAATACTATACGTTATGCAACTTGCAACACCGCGGCGTAACATTACCAATAAAAAACTTTTCGTGTGCTGAGCATATGTTTCAATATTTTTGTAATATCTGTACGTTTTAGAGAATAGACGCGATGGCAGTGACTCTAAAGAAGAGAGAGGAAGGCTCATATATGGAATCGACGACAAGCCTCCAATACACCTCTCCGTACTGTTCGGCCTACAGGTACAAATCAGATATCATGACACACTCAGAGCAAGACTGTTAAAATAACTATAAACATATAACCAGGAGCGTATAATGACAATTTGTCATTATACGCTCCTGATATAACCAACAAAAAGAGCACATTAACCCGCATACGTAAAAGGTTTATGTATTAAATATGTATTATTATATGTATTATTATTATTATACGCATTATTACCCTCACACACACACACACACACACACACACACACACACACACACACACACACACACACACACACACACACACAGTTACTGTCCAAGAATTTATGCATTAGTTGTCCTATATGTACGTGAGCTACAGGATTAAATATGGTACTATATTTAGTGCTTCTCTTGTAGGCACTTTATTACTGTAATCATGTATCATTTATTTAAAGTATCTTGCTTTGACTTTCAGTTTACTCTACTCTACCTCATAAAACAAAACGGGATCTTGCCATCTCATCGATAGATGTTTTAGAGATATTATCGTCTTTTGTCCATCTCTACTCGTATTGTATAGTACTGATGAGATTTCCTTTCGGTAAATACAGTTGTTCTCCCTGCATCTAAGCGTGCAGACTAACCATCGTTAATAATTCTGTTTTAAGGCTTCGTGTCAGTTTAATCCATACGCTATAGAATCTGTGCTGCATTAGGGTTTGTGCAATTACTAGTGAATTCTTACTCATTTACTGGGTTCGGTTCGAGTTTGGTCGGCTTCCTCCATCAAGTGCTGCATCGGGATTACCGGTGCGTCTATGGTTTTGGGTCATTAGGAGCATCTGGTCAGACTACAAAGGCTCCATCTTTGCTGCTTAATGTGTGATACAATTATGTTTATCTAACTAACATTGTGCTCCAAAACTGGGGTGTGCTGATAGCTAATCTTTAATTAATTCTTTTACATGAACATCTTCATTTAAAACATATATCTAGACGACGCTAGCCACCGGTCACAGCACATTCACCAGGGTGTGAGGGGTGATGTGAAAGCGAATTGGAGCGCGCGCCGGCCACAACGCACACAGGTGCCTGCGCTCACACACACACACACCACACACATCGCCATCAACACCGACAACACCACAGATATGCGACGCGCACGCCCCACCCGGCATGCTCGCGCCACTGCAGGCGCGCACCACTGCACTTCACGGACACAGCATCTGGCCAACTGCGGATTCACACCACAGCACACCTATTCGTCTTAGGGATTTCAACAGAGACGTTAGCCTATGTTACGAGAAACATAACTTCGCAACTGCCCGGTTAAAGCAAGCAAGATGGTATCGATTCATTTCTGCGCGGGCAGCGCAAAGCCGTTCACAACACCCGTTGAGACATCCGACGTAAGCCTGACAGGAGTCACTCTGATCCAAACGGTCCAGCCATATCAAACTTTGAGGATTCAGCAGATCCACGACCACCCACGGGCGAAGTCACAGGAGGACTGACTTAGATTACTTTACAGCACTATCGCTGTAGCATTGATCTCTGCATTTGTACATCAACGGAAAAGTATCGGTTCCGATACCTAAGCTGGACGCGAAGTGGACGATGGAAACCATTCAGGTTACCAAATCTTCACTGTGTTCCCCGGTGAGTTTTACTTATGTCCGCTGGTATTTGATGCTTTCTCAGTAAAAACACAACCACATATAAGGAATCCCGCATTGGTATTCAAGTTCTCCTCGCTCGCCATTCTCCTGCCTCTCTCGTTCTCCCCCTATACCACCCTCTCCCTCTTTTTCTCCATCTATGTCTCCTCCCTCTCTCTGTATCTTTTTCTGTGCCTCTATGTCTGTGTGTCTCTCTTTCCCTGCCTCCCTCTCTCTCTCTTAACCCCTGACTCACTCTGTCTAGCTCTCTGTTGTTGCCTCTTCCTTTTTGTGACTTTTCACCTCCCCTCTTGCTATCATTGCGTCTCTGGTTGACAGCTATATTCAAACAAATACCACCAATTTTTTTAAATATGAACAATTATGATGCTGATCCAGCAGTCATTGCTCCTCTATGCATCTAGCTAGTCGTGCATCACAGCTCCGAATAACTTATCTTTATTCTACAGATACTCATCGGAATGATAGCTGGATGGCTTCTCTGTCTGATTCTCACCGCTGCTCAGTTTTCCGACAAACCCTCCGACGCCATCTGGGCGCGAACAGATCAACAAGCGCAATAGCGCACACGCCCTGGTTTAAAATCCCCTACCCAGGTAACTGACGATAAATTCAACCCTATACCACACACGTATTTCGATATGCAAATACTGCATGCACGCCTGATCGAGAGAACTCTTCCTATTGTACACAGGAACGCGGAAACACGGAGTACATACGGAGATACCCACGCGCGCGCACACACACACACAGACAACACACACACACTACACAAACACAACACACACACACACACACACACAGCACACACACACACACACACACACACACCACACGCCACGCACGCAACAACCACTGCACACGAGCCACGCACAACGCACACCCACACGCAGCTACCCACACGCACACGCAGCACCACGTACGCACACACACCACACAAACTGATCTATATATCTATATATATATTATAATAAATATATAACTACTAACTTGTGCTGACTAGTGACTGTAATGGGTCTACCACTATAAACAGCCATTCTTTTTCAGGACAGAGATAGCCTGCTAACATGCTCCGTAGCACGCGTTTGTCGTCCGCGGCTTTGCCATCTAGCGAAATCATAGAGCCTATCGAGACTACTAGTCATGTCAAAAATATTGAGCATTCCACCTCCACCCTCACTTAGTCAACAAGCTTTACTATTGAAGGTACATGCACATACGTCTGCCGCACGTAAAGTGTAGAAAAAAAAAAAAAAAAATAAAAAAAAAAAAAAAAAAACACAAGATAGACACCGTTTTATAATTGCTATACAATTACATGGTGCGCATAATTTAAAAAATCAATAGAGAGGGCAAAATGTCATATAGATGTGATAATAAAACTACATATACATGGCAGCTAATCCTCAGATTCTTTTTGTTTCTCGGTCGATGAAATAATGTCGAATCGTATAATTTTCGTTCTTATTCATTATTATGTAATGAATAAAAAGTCTATGATTGTCATTTTACGTTCGTGTTTTCATGGATTGTTTATTTCAGTTTTCGTACAGTTTGTTCTCATTCTCTTGAGTGTAACTTCATGCTGATTCTTAGTCGCAATGTTGTAGTAGTAAATTGTTATTATTTAAGTTATTATAAGTTTTATTTACTGTTATTAGCAGTATATAATGTTAAATTTTTAATTGAAACTGGCATGCACTGCTATTCCTGCATACATCGACCTACCACAGTTTTCTAGTG